CAAGCAGAGGACTGAAACTCCATCACAAACCAATCCAAACAGATGGTAAGATAAAAGAAAGAAAAGAGGTGTTACCTTCTTGTGTTCTTCTTCGGTCAAGAATTCTGGAAATTATGACAAGTACCCGGAGCAAGAAGAAAGGATTAAAGCATTGTAAGCAAAAACAAAAAAAGTCAAGAGTCAGGACGGCTGAGGTCTTCCCTTTTTTTTTCTTTTTTTCTTTTTTCCCACTTTAGACCTCTGCTTGACTGGTGGAAGTAGGGTTGGCAAGTGTGGCGAGTTAGTTGAAAAGGTCAAGAAAACGCGGTTTTGTTGTTCGGCCGTCATTTCTAACGGTTTTAGCGGTCTCAGCCATTATGATTATGATTTTTGACAATAATTATGATTAACTATTATTATTATTATTATTATTATTATTATTATTTTAACTTGGGTAAAGTACTATTAATTAAGTTTAGTTTACATCCTTACAGAGCAGATTAAGTAGAATATTGGGAGGACAATGTGCCCAATACGAGGGGCACTGTCCACTCAGTGACGTGCGAGCGACCCAGTCAGCTACTTGGTTGCCAGAGCGTGGAACAAAATTGAATCTAAATCCAGGATTAATGACACAAGATTGTCTGATACTCATTATCAAGGTTTGGGCCTCCCGTGGTTGAGGCATTGAAGATTGCTGGATAGAGGAGATTAACACTTGATTATCAGGTTCGAAGATGATATCCTGAAAGCCTTTATCTTCAGCAAATCGAACGGCTCTAAGGAAAGCAGCTGCTTCTGCCGATAGTGGGGTTGACGCCGAGTAACGCCAAGTCCTTCCAAAATAGATTTCATCATTCGAGTCGCGTCCAACCATGGCTAAAGCTGCTACCCCCGAATTTGGTGAGAATGAGGCATCTACATTAACCTTGATAATGCCACATGGAGGCTTGGACCATGATTATTTGTGCAGTTGTGCAGGTGGTTGGGGCCTGGATGGAGATTCCAATAAGTCCTGGTGGTCCAGAGATAATTCTTGAATCATGTGAGAAGTACGAGTAAGAACCTGGATAGGAGAAATTTCAGCTTGTTCGAAAATTTCTCGTTTTTGGCCTTCCATATATTCCAGTAAACAATAGCACAGTAATCCGGCAAGGTAGGAAAGTGCATTTGTCTAGCTACCCGCTTGATATACCTCCACCATTCCACGAGACTACCCATGCCTAGCTGCCATGGGTTAAGACCCAAGGCTAAACCAACCCAAATTGGTTCCACATGAGGGCAATAAAAGAGCAAATGCATTATGGATTCATAAGTTAAATGACAAAAGGGACACAACACCTCTTGTACAATTCCCCTCCTTAGCAAATTATCCATTGAAGGCAAAGAGTTAAGGACGGCTCTCCATAAGAAAACTCGAACTTTAGGAGGCACTTGCATTTCCATGTGTGTTTCCATTTAGCAAACGAAAGGATCAAATTATCATGATTCCTATTAGTTTCATTAGCAGCATGAATTGCAAGGAGATAAGCACTTTTTACAAAAAAATCTTCCATATCTATCATAATGCCAAACAAAGGAATCAGAGCACATCCCAATAGGAATTTTTAGGATTTCTCGGTACTCCTCATTGTTGAAACATGTATTAAGCTTGGTAACATCCCATTCCCCATCATGATCAAGCAGTTTACAAACATAAGAAAGTAATGAGTTAGTGATTGGGAAGGAAGTTACCTTAAAACCAAGAAGGGTGGGCAGCCATTTGTCTTGATAGATCAAAATGTCTTGGTCATTTCTAACATTCCATCTTGCTTTGAGTTGAACAAGATCCCTTCCTTGCAAAATACTCGACCATGCCCACGATGGATGACTTCTTTTCCTAGCATAGAAAAAGGAAGAGTCTGGAAAATATATACTTTTAAGCACTCAGGCCCATAAGGCATTGGGACTCTGTAGCATCTTCCAAGCTTGACGAGCTACCATGCCTAAATTAAAGCAATAGAGGTTTTTAAAGCCCATACCTCCAACATGTTTGCTTTGAGTGAGTCGGTCCCAACCAACCCAGCATACTTTCCTCTCATTCGTTTGTTGTCCCCACCAAAAGTCCTCAATAAGTCGGTTGATTTCTTTGTAGACACCCAAAGGAAACATAAAGTAGGACATTGTGAAGATAGGAATGGCCATAGCAATTGCTTTAATTAAAACTTCTTAGCTCGCTTTAGATGGCAAGTTTTTTTTTTCCAATGAGCAAGTTTCTTTTGAATGTTGTCAACCACGTATTTGAGGCTATCTTTTTTAGACCTTCCCCAGGAGGTTGGTAATCCAAGGTATTTGGAAATAGCAGATTCAAGTCAAATTCCAAGGCGTTCATAGATTGATTCCTGAACTTCCTTTGGGGTATTAAGACTAAAAATTGCATCAGATTTGGAGTAGTTAACTCTCTATCTAGTAATATCCTTGTAGAGTTTTAAAATAGTTTGTAAGTGACTCACCTCCTCTGCTATGGCTCGACAAAAAACTAAAGAATCATTTGCAAAAAGGAGGTGATTGATTGTAGGCTAATCCTTCGAATCTTGTATCCAGAGCTCTTATTTTTTGTTGTTGCTACCATTAATAGATGAGATAAAAGATCAGTAATAAAGAGATAGAGGTACGAGGATAGCGGGTCTCCTTGTCGGAGTCCTCTTTGGGGGACAAAAACAGGGGTTTGATTGCCATTAATTCCCACAGTGTATGATACCATCGAGACACATTGCATTACCATATGGATCCATTGCTCACAAAAGCCATGAGCCCTCAAAATATTTTCCAAACAATGCCAATCCACACTATCATATGCCTTCCAAATATCTAATTTCAAAGCCAAAACACAATGTTTACCAGATTTCTTAAGCTATAGACAATGAAAGGCTTCATATGCAATCAAAATATTATCTTGGATAGCCTGGCTAGGAATAAAAATAGACTAAAAGGGAGTTATTAGGCTATCAAGATAACCTTTCATGCGATTAGCTAGAATTTTAGTAATAATTTTATAAGAAAAGTTACAAAGAGAAATGCGCCGGAAATGTGAAATCACCTCAGGAGCCTTGATTTTTAGAATGAGGATAATTCTAGTTCTATTCATTTCTTGTAGCATAAAACCATGTTTAGAGAAGTGTCGAATAGCCTTGCATACGTCTGGTCCTACAAGATCCCAATGTTGTTGATAGAAGCATCCTAGGAACCCATCCACTCCAGGAACCCTGAAAGCACCTAATTGGAACACCGCAGAACAAATTTCATCATCCGAAATGGAACGACACAACTCATGATTCATTTCTGCAGTAATAGATGGGTGGATAAGCCTTGAAATCTGCTCAAGATTACAAGTGTTCAAAGAAGCATAAGCTTGTTGGAACTGGGAATAAGCATGGGAGATAATTGATTTAGTGTCTTCCATCAATTGCCCATGTTCATCCTTAAGCTGAAAGATGTAGTGGTTCTGCCTCATTCTGAATGTAATCACATGGAAAAATTTAGAATTCCTATCTCCAAATTTTATCTAATTCATACAAGCTCTTTGAAACCAGTATGCTTTCTCTTGCATCCAAAGAGTATGAATTTTGTCAATTAAAAGTTTCTGCCTTGACCAGTTCAATTTCGTTTGTTCCTCTTATTGTAGTCTTCAAGTTCTTGTTGTAATTGCTCCAACTGTTGATATTGATTTCCTGAGGTAGCTTTGCTCCATCCCTTCAGGGATTGTCTACAGTGGGAGATTTTAGCTGCCATGTTAAAGAGGGGGGATCCGACTTGATTGGTTGACCATCCTTGAGTCATAACTCTCTCATATCCAGTTTGGAGTTGCCATTTCATCTCATATCGGAACTGCTTCTTCGTGAAACTAGGAATAGCTTTTAAGTAGAGTACAAGAGGGTAATGGTTTGAGCCGATCCTTGTGCAATGGAATAGCTGAGCATTTGGGAAAAGTCGACCCCAACCGTCATTACACAAAGCCCAATCTAGTCGTTCACTAATATTGCCTCAGACCCATGTATATTTAGAACCTTTATAAGCAATCTCTCTTAAAGAGCAAGAGTAGATCAATTCTTCATATAATCTTCTATCAATCCTCAATGGAGGTCTTTTCCCCTTCTTATCACTATTATCCCCAATTAGGTTTAAATCTCCCATTATTAACCATGGAATAGAACTGGGAGTCTAAGATTCATCATTCTGCTCTACATAGCTAGTCGTAATTATGCATTAGGTTCTCCATAGACAAAGGAAAAATGCTAAGAGACAAAGTAAGCAACATCTGAACAACAACCATTCAACATGTTTTTATTAGAGGAGAAAATGAAGATATGAACATCCTCAGTCCACCACAAGGCTAAACCCCCCCAAATAACCTTGCGGTTCAATGTAAACACTGCTAGAGAATACATACTTTCTTCTTAACTGCTCCAAGTATTTCTTATTCTTTTTAGTCTCCATAAAAAAAACCAAGCACGGGTGATGTTTAAAGATGAGATCATTAAGTGCCCTTCTCGTCAAGGCTTGCCCAAGGCCCTGACAGTTCCATGAAAGAATCTTCATGTTAGTGAGGGTGGCTGCCACGAGCCAACCACCAACGCCACATCAGCCATATCATCAGGAAGTTGCTCAGTTGTTCTTGATGGAGAGTTTAAGAAACATGTAGAAGGATTACTTGGAGCATGAGTTGTAGTAGAGATCACGGGGGTAAAAGGGGGTTTATTGAAGAGTCTGTGAGTTGGATGGAATGATTGAATCAACAACAAGCAAGGTTCTGGTTGGAGCTTAACTCGGCGGGCCAATGCCTTCAACTAGATTTTGCGTCTCACCTGAAGGACTAAGAAAGATTCTACAACATCTGTGAAGACACCTTTTTGTTCTTGTTTATAAGATTTCGACCTTCCCAAGGCTAAGGAATCTTGTAGTTGGGTTGGGGAATATTGCAACCCAACTAATTCATTATGTGTAATGCAGGCCCGCTTAACAGCTTCAACTGAAGGCCCAGTGTCACATCTTCGTTTTTCCCGGTTGAAGTGTTACTACCCAAAGATAGTTGGGCTTCAAACTTTTGGGACAGTAATACGCCCAATTCCCCATTGCAACAATCTCTTTCATGTCCAATGGGCTGATCTTGTATGTCACTTAAGATGTCTAGATGTTTATCTAGATTTGAAAACTGCAGAGTGGTCATCATTGCATTTAATGGAGGAGGCATTTGCTGGTGTGTGGTAGATGAAAATGATGAGGACTCTACACTAATATCGAAAGTGGTAATCATACCACTATGTGACTGCATTTCAATCTCATTAAAAGCTGGGGATGACAACGGAGGGGTAGATGGGTTCACGCGTTCCTCCTCTTGTTGTTCAACACGTCCTAGTTCAGAGAGTTCCTCTTCATTCACCACTAACTTATATTGAACCAAGTTTGTAGGCTTTAATGAAAATCAAGTCTCAGATTTGTCTATGGCTTCTTTTATTAGTTTTGCATGGTGAATTTGGTGAGATTTGCTACTTTCTCGAATGGAGCCAAAATGCCTTTTAGGCAAATAAGCTACAACCCTCAACTGTGGACCATATTGCAGCTTGGGTTGAGTGGAGTGATTGTCGTCATGATCCTTCCGATTGAAATCAAGACATGGTTTCTTGGTATGGCCCAGCATTCCGCATCTATAACAAAAATTAGCAAGTTTTTCATACTTAAATTAAGCATTCCAAACTTCATCTCCCTATTGTTGAAATTGGAAACTTGTTAGAAAAGGAGTTTGAACATCAATTTCAACCCTTAAGCGTAAAAAACTTTCCAGTCCACCCAAGGTAGATTGGTCCCATGAGATTAAACGAGGAAATAGTGACCCAATGAACTAGATGTTTTCCAAAGACATGCATCCTTTTGGGAGGCCATGAACTTGAACCTAGAATTCTGAGTGAGAAAACACAATTTCATCAAAACGCTGAGATGTCGGCCAATCTTTGAGGACAATATGGGACCATTTGACAAACCATGGAGACTCTCGAAAGATTCTATCTTTCTTAGTTTCATTCAAAAGGATAAAAATTAAAGTATTCTTAGACTGTTCGTGCACTTCTAGTCCTCCTTTCGGTCTCCAAGCACTCTTTAAAATGCTATACACAACCCCACTTCTAGTATCATCTTCATCCACAATTAGATGTCCTGCAAAGGAGAACCGATGGGGCACACTGTGATCTATTTTTTTAGTGGTGAAGCAAAGGATCGAAGTGTCTTGTCCCCCTTTGAAAGCACCACTTGCTTCTGGTTGTTGATTTACCATTTCCCCAAAAAGCAAGAGGAAATTAATATGGCAACCAGATTTGTTCAATGGTAGGTAGGATGATGAAAACGCCACCAGAAACACTACCAACCTTAATTTCTACGTAGTAAACATAAAACAAATTGTAAAACATACTGCAAACTGCAGATGACCAGAGGTAGGATGAAAAGAGAGTGAAACACCTAAAGGTATTACCTCAGGATTGTAAACAGTAACTCGTATAATAATCTGGTATAAATCCCTTAGAATTAGGAGCATATTTGTATACAGTTATAATTCTCCTAGACTCTAGGCACAAGATTAGCTAAGTTATGATTTTGATATGGTTCTTTTGTATATGTATGTAAAGTGACATACATTATGAATGAATAACATACACTCAGTAATTTTCATGGTATCAGAGCTGGAATTCTTCTTGTGACTTGATTGTTTTCTTTTGTCTCACTATGTCTACCGAATCCACAACCTCCCCTGCACTAGCTAATAATGAATTGGATCCCTCATCACCTTTTTATTAACACCATTCAGATAATCCTGGAACTGTTCTTGTTTCTCAGGTTTTGCAAGGAGATAATTATCCCATATAGAGCAGGGCCATAACCATAGCTTTTGAAGTCAAGAATAAGCTTGGTTTTATAGATGGTCGTATTTCACAACCAGCACCAATCATGCAATCTAGAGTCGATGCAACAGTATGGTTCTATCCTGGCTTCTTAATGTTGTTTCGAAGGAAATTGCAAACAGTGTTGTGTTTATGAAAAATGCTCGTGCTGTGTGGATAGATCTACAGGATCATTTCTCCCAACGCAATGCTCCTCGGATTTTTGAGATTTAGTGATCAATTGTGAATCATCTACAACGGAATGATTCTGTGACAACTTATCATACAGGGTTGAAAGCACTATGGGATGAACTTGCCATTTATAAATCATATCCTACTTGCTCTTATGGAGCAGTTGCTGAAATCACCACGCTAAAAGAGCAAGATCATTTAATGCAATTTTTAATGGGGCTCAATGATTCCTTTGCCAATTTAAGGAGTCAAATTTTACTAATGACACCATTACCAACAATCACAAAAGCATTGTCTCTAGTGATGCAAGATGAACAACAATGAAATATCCAATCTATTGCATCCCTTCCATACCCTAAGCAGTTGGCAATGGCAGTCTCACATAATCATGAATCACAATCTACCTATCGTTTTAATCAACAGAGTCAAAATAAATCTGGTCAACCATTCTATCATTGTGACTATTGTGGATTAGATGGACATTCTGAGTCACGGTGTCACAAAAAGCTTGGAAATCCTAATTATCAAACGACATCAGTAAAGTGTGACTTCAAAGATTCTGGTTCTTGTTTTCAACGGAACTCTACTGAACAACATACAGCTTCTTCTAGATCACAACTAGTAGTTGCTGCTGTTGACCATGGTGAGAAAAGTTCTGATGTAAGCTCACCTTTCACTCAGGACCAGATACAACAACTACTTTCTCTTATTCAACCTAGTGTCTCTACCTCTTCCAATCCACTTGTTAATATGGCAGGTATCAATACTAATTTTTCAAATATGAATGAGCTTTGGATTGTAGACTCGGGTTGCACTAACCATATTGCAAGATCTTTCACAACCTTAGAAAACTTGCAACCTTATTTTGGTCCTCTTGTGAAACTTCCCAATGGCAATTTTGTCCCTGTTACACATTTTGGTTCACTCTATTTTAATTCCACTTTTCATTTAGATAATGTTCTTTATGTTCCCTCATTCAAATTCAACTTATTATCTATTCACCAAATCACTAACGCACTTCATTGTTCTGTGATTTTTCTTCCTAACTTGCACATTTTCCAAGACTTGTGGAAGGAGCATGATGGTCTCTACTACCTTGCACCTTCCACAGCCCCGTTTATCTCCCTTACTACTATTTCCAAACCTGTGGTAGACCTCTTGCATTTTCAACTAGGTCACCCAAGTGAGGGTGTTTATCTTAGTTTTACTCATCTTGATAGTGTAGTTTCTTTTAATAAAAACTCTTGTATTATTTGCCCTTTGGCAAAACAAACAAGGTTGTCTTTTCCCTTAAGTTCAATAACAAGTACTCAGTGTTTTGATTTAATTCACATCGACATTTGGGGTCCTTATTCTACTCCTTCTCGTACCGGCGCTCAATATTTTCTTACTGTGGTGGATGATTTTTCTCAAAATACTTGGGTATTTTTAATGTAGCATAAATCCCAAGCATGTCTTCTTATTCAAAATTTTGTTTCTATGGTCCAAACACAATTTCAAACCACCATCCGAAGGGTTCGTACTGATAATGGTTCAAAATTTTTCAACTAGCAAATAACTACCATTTTTAATTTAAAAGGGGTTATCCATGAACATAGTTGTGTGGCCACACCCCAACAAAATGGGGTTGTTGAACGCAAACATCATCATTTGTTAAACATGGCTCGTGCTATTTGTTTTCACTCCAATCTTCCTCCCAAATTCTGGGGTGAATGTGTTTTGACTGTTGCTTATCTCATAAATAGAACACCTTCTAAACTCCTTCATGGCAAAACTCCCTTTGAGTTGCTTTTTCAAAAGAAACCCACATATTCTCTTTTACAAGTGTTTGGTTGTTTATGTTTTGGAAGAAATATTCATATCACACACAAATTTGATTCTTGAGCTCTTCTTGGCATCTGTGTTGGTTATCCTTTTGGACAAAAAGGATACAAGATTTTTGACATTAAATCCCAAAAATTGTATGTGAGTCGTGATGTTAAGTTTCATGAAGACATTTTTTCTTTTCAATTTGTTTCTTTTGAGGTCTTTGCCACTCCCGTTGCCAAGTCCAGATTACATACCGACTGATACTACTATTTTTCCATCCTCTCTAGATACCTCAACTCTAGCCCCTGCCACAACAAATTCTTCTCCAGTAGTACCTCTTACCGAAACCTCTACTACATTACCTTCTCTTGAATCACCAACTTCACCACATGTCTCCGAACCACCACCTATTGTCCTCCCAGAATTACGGTGTTCTTCACGTCATAAACAAGTTCCCACAAGGTATAAGGACTATCACTACTTTAATGTGCATGATCAATCAACTTCTTCCTCCTCAAGTACTCCTTATCCTATTTCTAATTATCTGTCCTATGCTCGATTCTCTCCTGCTCATTATTCCTTCCTTAATACCATTGCTTGTGACATTGAACCATCCTCCTCTACCCAAGCTATTCACTGTCCTGAGTGGAGAACAGCTATGCAAACAGAACTTCAAGCCTTGGAAGACACACAAACGTGGTCACTGGTTCCTTTACCACCTGACAAGAAGCCAATTGGTTGCAAATGGGTCTATAAGATCAAACGAAAATCTGATGGCAGCATAGAGAGATTCAAAGCCCAGCTTGTAGCTAAGGGATACACTCAAGTAGAGGGAATTGATTATCATGATACTTTTGCCCCTGTTATCAGGATTGTCATTGTTCATGTTCTTTTGGCCATTGTAGCTGTTAAACAATGGCCTTTGCATCAAATGGATGTTCAGAATGCTTTCTTACATGGTGATTTACAAGAAGAGGTATACATGAGACTTCCGCAAGGTCATTCTTGACAGGGGGAGCACAATCTTGTTTGTAAGCTTAATTGATCTCTTTATGGTTTTAAACAAGCCTCTCGGAACTGGTTTTCCAAGTTTTCTAGTGCTTGCTTGTGGTTTTCAACAATCTCCAACGGATTACTCTTTATTTCGACTAGACCAAGGCTCCTCCACCGTCTTCATTTTATTATATATTGATGACATGATTCTCACAGGCAACAATCCTAATCTCATTGCTCGTGTGATGGAATTTTTATTCAGTCAATTCAAGATTAAGGATTTGGATTCACTTAAGTATTTTTTGGGTATTGAAGTAGCTCGCTCCCACCGAGGCATTTATCTATCTCAACGCAAATATACTCTAGATCTTCTTGATGATTCTGGTCCTCTTGGCTCTAAAACTACTGACATGCCAATGGAAACAAATCTTAAGCTTATTGCGACTGATGGCCCATTGTTGGATAATCCTTCCCAGTATCGTCGTTTGGTGGGTCATTTCATTTACCTCACCGTTACCAAGCTAGATATATGTTTTACGGTAAACCAAGCCAAGGAATTCTTCTTCTGCTAGTTCATTAGATTTACGTGCATATTCGGACTTGGATTGGGCTAGCTGTGTGTCTACTCGATGATCCACTACAGGCTACTTAATTTTTCTGGGTGCTAGTCCGATTTCATGGAAGAGTAAGAAACAGAATACCATTGCACTTTCTTCTGCTGAAGCCGAGTATAGGGCCATGGCTTTTACCACTAAAGAGGTCATTTGGCTTCACAATTTATTACACAGTTTTGGTATTCGCCAATCTCACTCCACACCTTTTTACTGTGATAATCAGGCAGCTCAGCACATTGTTGCCAATCTTGTCTTTCATGAAAGGACAAAACATTTGGAAATTGATTGTCATTTGGTGCGTGAGAAATTTCAAGCTGATATTGTCTGTCCATTGCCCATCTCTTCCTCTCATCAACCAACTGACATTTTCACAAAGGCATTGGGCAAGGATAGTTTTTATTTGCTGCGGGACAAGCTGAGCATTCATGACCTTCATGCACCAGCTTGAGGGGGAGTGTAAACAATAACTGGTATAATAATCCGACATAAATCCCTTAGAATCAAGAGCATATTTGTATACAATTATAATTCTCCTAGACTCTATAGGCACAAGATTAGCTAAGTTATGATTTTGATATGGTTCTTTTGTATATATATGTAAAGTGACATACATTATGAATGAATAACATACATTCAGCAATTTTCGAGGATCACAAGTGGGAAACCCTAGAGAGAAGGTCCTAGAAATGGTTCCTCTAAACAATTAGCATCTTTAACTATTAGTATTATTAAGTAAAGTGATGCGTGGTGTGGGTACGGTATAACCTATTTATTAGTCGATGTGGAGTGGACTTCCAATACCATTTTTTTTATTAATAATTAATTCCTTTTATTTTTGTAAATGCTTTTTAGAAAGAAATTGGCAACAATTGTGAACTGTACATCTTATTGTCATTGAGAAAGACAATTAAAATTAAAAGATAATTTTTAAAATCTATTTCACAATAAGAATAATAATTAAAATTAAAAGATAGTCATAAGATTAAAATTAAAAAAAATATTTGTTTACTTTAAAATACGAAAAATGACGATTATTTTAAAACAAATTTTAAATAAAAAAAATATTATTTTAAAATAAATGAAATGTTTCATATAAGAGAGTTTATTAATATAATTTTATGATATTTCTTATTCTTATTTTTAGAGGTCTAAACTCATAAACAATCAGTGTTTTGCCAGACTTCATTGCTAGAGGACATCTCCAAAAGTATTATATTTTAATAAAAAAATTAAAAACTAACCATTGGACTTCTAAAAAAATGCCGTTGGATTATAAATTTAATTATATAAATTATAGATATTAATTTTTAGATTGATCTAGTATGTTTAACTAATTCGTTAATTATATAAAATTTAATACTGTTAAATATATGTTAGTAAACAAAATTTATTTAATAAAATATTATAAATATTATATCAATTTAAAAATTAACATATATAATTTATATTAATAAAAAAATTACCAGTTGATTATTAAAAAAATTAAAATATTAATATAACGTAAATTATCCTCCTAATTTTTTTTATTTATGTTAAAGACCTGCTTAAAAACTAAGTTCATAATTAATATTTTAAAAATCAACCATAGAATATATCAACCAGCCATTTTTTTATGTACTTTTGTTTTTATTTGGCAAAACATGTTGAGGAAGTAAAAGAGCTACCTAAAGGCGTGGCCAAATGAGTAGGTCTGTGGCATCACAAGTTCACCATTCCACACCAATTCTTTCACATCAATAGTAACCTTCTTTTCCGTCGGCTCCAATCCCTGGGATAACAAGTTTTATTGCGGGAAAAAAAAATCAGAAGATTAACAACTTCAGGAAAAAAAAATGATAATCTCAAACATACAGGACTCTTCCAAAACAAATATTGAAAGAGACGCAAATCTTGAAATAATTACACCAGATGACTCGAAGTCATGTGCCATAAGATACGGATGTTAAAATGGAGAGATACAGGAAGGGGTAGGAAATTGGCAGTCATCTTATATATATACAAAAAGGTGTAGTGCAATATGAACTTTATAAAACGACTAGACAAATCATTGGATAAGAATGGATTCTTTGATATTATGACTCTTTCTCATTTAATGGTCTCTATTTTACAATTTAGTATAGTTTAAATTGTAAAATAAATTATATATATGGTAGGAATTTACTTACGCACAAATCTTACACACAAATTTTACATATTATATTTACATAAGATCTTAATCATTCGTCTCTTCATTTTTAATGATTGAAATTTATTTACAGTTATTAAAAATAATTATTTTTTTCATTTAAAAAATTATGAGAAATTTCAATTATTGAAAATGAAGAAAT